TCTTGAGGGGGCTGCCTCCTGCAGGGTGTCACTCGGGACAAGCTACTCAGGCTGGGTTTTCCCCAGGGTGTCATGGTAGTGCCCACACTGTGCTGGGTGAGCAACCCTGTTCGGAAGCAGCTCTACCAGAATCCACCCTGGGCTGYGCTTAGTCTGTACGTCCGGACCACAGCCCGACGTCACTCTGAGAACATCATGCTTCCCTCCTGGCTCTTTTCAGCTGGCTTGTCTTTGGGATGGGTTATTCTGGGGACAAGGAGACCCTGTGCTATCTCCTTACCAGCTCATCTTGGTAGTGGGTGTCTTGATTGCTGATGGCCTAGAAATGCAGCTGGTGCTGTTTGCTATTCTGTAGCCTTTGCCGCGGGGAAGCTGCAACATGGGAGGAGATACACACCACAGAGCCGCAGCCATGCAGAGGGGTGCCTTTGTGCCCCARGGGTGGGCATTGGCAGCAGCGGGCAGCCTGGCTTCCTGAGCCCCCCGGACAGCTCTGCCACTGTAGTCCTGGTTTTCTGGCTCACCATGTCCCTCTCCAGGCCTTAGCATCGTCTGGTAAGGAGATAGCAAGGATCACCCCCATTTACGGATGCTGAGATGGAGGCTCTGAGACCCAGGAAGCTGCTGAGCTCTTCGGCTAGTTACTGGTTGGACGGGGGATGCCTGGAGCCTAAGGCTCCAACCCAAGTTCTCGCCACCAATATGCTGTGCAGACTGACCCAACAGAGAACTACGGAATCCCACCTAGTACTGGGCACAGTGCTGCACGCCTGTCATCCCAGGGGCTCRGGAGACTGAGGCAGGAGGATCCCAAGTTCAAGGCCAGCCTCAGCAATTTAGCAATTTAGACCCTGTCTCAGAATAAAAGACTAAGGGTGTACCTCAGGTGGAAGCAGCCCTGGGTTCAATTCCAGTACCAAGAAAAAAAATCCCAGCTGGCCCTCTGAACGTGGCTCTAGGTCCCCACAGGTGTCACCGGTGCCTGTGAGCCTCACTTGGGTGGGCAGYCGTCCTGGCCCTGGCAGGGGAGCACCAGGCAGGCCCCTGCCAAGGTCGCCATCCCACAGGGTCTCACCGTCCTTCCCGCGCATCAGCCTCACTGGCCTGAGTCTCACCCTAGGTGCACAGACCAGGGATCTTAGCCCCAGAACTGCCACCTGGAGAGGTGACAGGCCTGTCCAAGACCAATGCTAGTCCAGTAGAACCGTGCTTGAACCTGGCCTCCTCTGCCTCCTGCAGGGTTGGCCTCAGCAGAGGGACATGGGCTTGTGCTCCCTCCTGCCGACCATACGTTTGTCCCAGTGGGTGGCATTGGCTGTGGACGGTCCAGCTTTCCCCACTGGGCAGTGGGCTTCTCAAAGCCAGGGTTTATGCCAGTCCCCTCCTCATGCCAGGCCCACGAGGCCCAAGGCAGCCGTGCGCGAATGTTTGAAGGACAACTGAATGACGGGCCCTGCCCCTCCAGCTGGGCCCAGTCGCAGTGCCGCCTGGCCTGATGGCATCATCCTGCTGAGCCGGGCTCAGTGCCGGGGGCGTCCCTCCTGCCTGTGACTCCGAGCATTTCACCTTCTCTGCCTCGGTTTCTCATTCTTGAAGCAGAACAAGACCCACGGTGCTCTCGTGAACTGTTACATGCACGAGGGCTTCCGACAGCCCCGGTCCTAGGCACACGACAGGCCAGCAATCAGGGCAGGCAGAGTTGGATTCGGCCAAGAGCAGCCTGCAGCTCAGAAGCTCTCGACGGGATGTCCAAAGCCAGCCCGCTGCCTGTGGCTTGTGGCAGGCACCAACTGGGGCCATCAGAGTCTCTACCCAGCCCCACAGGTGATCAAGGACTAACCCAGTCTGTGTCCCAGCCTGGCCTCACCTCCACACGGCCCAGCTCAGATGCGGTTAAGACAGAGTGACAGGTGTCACTTCATCCACACAAAACCGCTTCGAGGCGGATCAGCTTCCCCATTTTACAGATGGGGAAACCGAGGACCAGGACTACAAAGCCACCTGCCTAAGATCCCACAGCTAAGAAGTGGCCCAAAAAGGCCCAGACGGACTGAAACTCCCCTGTCCCTTTGCTCAAATCCTGTGTGTCCATTGGGAGTTGAGGGGGAAAAAAAATTCAAAGAAAAAGGAAAGAGCCCAGAGCAGGTTTTATTTTTCCTTAGATGAACTCTATACAGAACGTATTCTAGTCAGGAGTTTTCAGCTTTCACTGAAAGCTCAGAAGTTATTGCCGCTGTGCCCGGGGCGGTGAACGTGGAGGGGCTTCTAGAAGGCTGCCTGTGTTCAGAGAGCAGGGTCTGCGTGGAGAGCGTGGCCACTCCACAGGAGGCCAGGGCGGGGCAGGAGGGAGGGGAAGGAGCATGGCAGGGCAGGGTGGCCCAGGCTGCCAGAGGCCACCTCCCTACCGGAAGCAGCGCCCTGGCCGTCTGGGCAGGACCTGTAGAGGGCACAAGAGAGCCAGGCCCACGGGTGCCAGGGGCCCTGGCTGGCCGGCGCCTCAGCCCCGCCGCAGTGCCTGCAGCTGGTGTGCCACCCTCTCCAGCTCTGCCTCGATGGCCGAGAGGCTCTCCAGCTCCTGGTCCTAGGAGAGAAGGTCAGGGTCATTGGGAGCTGGCCTGTGCTGTGGGATCAACAGGACAGTCAGCAGGGCTGGAGGCTGCTGGTTGGCTGCATGGCCTTGGACAGGTGGCTCTGCCAGGGAGTCTCATCTGCACCGCGGGGACGTGGCACCACGCTGGGGGCCTGCCTGAGGGCCAGCGGGCAGGCGGGAAGCAGAGGCCCTGGTGCACCCTGCCTGGGTGCAGCCCTGCTCCCTCTCGATGGTCCAGGCAGGCGGAGTCTGTTCTTTCAGGGAACGTGGACCATGAAGCCCTGGTTCCCTTAAGGGACCCTCCCTTGGCCCAGACCATGGGCGACAGCTCTCGGGTGGCCAGGCTGGGCGTGGGACTGTCTTCCGCAGCCTCCATACCTGAGGGGGCCGTGGGGACTGCAGCACGGGCTGGACACTGACAGACACCATGTCCACCTGCTAAGGCGGGGCCTGTTCCTGACCTCAGGGGGACCCTGAGCTCCGGCTGCCAGGGTGGTTCAGGGGAGCAAGGGACCCTCCTCTGAGCCCTGCTCTGGGCCCATCTCCCAGAACTGCCAGTCCTCTCGGAGCAGGAYACACCAAGAGCACACCCCCCACTCGGAGCCTGCTGGGAAGCCACCTCTCTGCCCCTGCCCTGGGGGTGGACTTCCAAGGCCACACCACGGCCCACCTGGGCCCAGTTCATGGGATGCTGACAACTGTTGCCTTGGAAATGGGGACCTAGAGCCCCCCTGACTTTGAGGGGCCCTGGGGGGTGATTTTGTTCTTTTGGGGTGTTCTTTTTTGCAGAGCTGGGGTGGAGCCCAGGGCCATGTTGTGTTGGGAAGTGCTTACCCCTGGCCATGCCCAGCCACCCCCCACCTTTTTTTAATTGTATTTTGAAACTGGCTGTCACTGATCTGCCCAGGCTGGTGTCAAACTTGTGATCCTCCTGCCTCAGTCCACACGCCAGCCTGAGCCACTGGCTTGACAGGCAGCCCATGCGGAGGTTTCTAAGACCCCTGGATGGGGAGGAGGTCCTCACCCCACCTTGACCACAAGACTCAGGGGTCCCCACTGCCCCACCCTGCCCCCTGGCCCCCTCTGCTGTGGAGACCGGAAGCTGGCAGAGTCTCTGGCACCCCATTATTCTGCCGTTTCTGGGGCTGCTCCCCTTGTCCTGGAGGTGGGGCTGCTCCTGGGCCCTTCGCCCAGTCCTGGGGACACGGTACCTGCCCCTCCAGCCCCAGCTCCAAGGGGTCTTCCTCTCAGACCACCAAGACCAGACCCAGGCCCAGAGAGGTCAGGATCAAAAGAAGGGCCCCTACTTTTCTGGGTGGGCTGAGAACAAACTTGGGGAGAGGGCTCTGGTCCCTGGTGGTCCCCAGAGCACTGAGGCTTGAATCAAGTACCACCAGGGTCTCCTGCCTGACAGGGAGCCCAGCTCCTGGGCGGCTGTGCACTGACCACCTGCTCAGCATCCCAGTGGCCTGGGGAGGCCCAATTCCAAGCATGGACGCCTCTAGTCGTGATGCTGAGGTGGGCAGAAAGGGGGTGGGGAYGTGAGGCTCAGGGGAGGGCCACCACCTGCCCAGGGCCAAGAGCCAGGGAGAGGCTGGCTCAGGCCTGTGGGCAGAGGCCAGGTCTCCCTCCCGTTCACACAGGCCCCGAGGGCCAGCGGGCTCTACCCTGCCCCTCCGCCATCATGGGAAGAGGGTGCACCCGGGCCTCCTGGGAGCCAAGACATGGCCGGGGCCTGGACCCCTAGGCCGGTCCTGCCCCCTGTCCCCAAGCTCTCTATCCAAAGCTGCACCTGTCACTCTCTGACCTGCTCAGACTCCCCAGGGCGCCCAGCAGCTCCCAGGCCGGGCTGAAGGCCTCCTGCCAGCTGCGGGCCGTTCCCCAGGTGCCCGCTGGGAGCCCGGGCACCCCCAGCCCTGAGAGTCCCTGGCTGCACACCCCTCTGGGTCTAGATTCCAGGGGTCTGGGGCCCCTGCTGGGGGCAGTGATGTCCGAGTGCAGCTGTCCCCAGGCCTGGCCAGGGCCGCTCCCTCCCGTAGCCACCTCTGCTCTGACCTCTGCCCTGCGGTTGGCGCTGCCCTCCTCCTCCTTCTTCTCCTCGGGGTAGCCTCGGGCCTGCAGGGGCAAGCCCGCCTCCACACTGTCCTCCGGGGAGGATGGCCTCCAGCCTCGGCGCAGCTGCAGGCCAGGCCCCCTGGGGCCAAAGGCCCGGGCCCGGAAGGAGAGCTTCATGGAGCGGTCGGGGTCGGGGCCGGGGTCATCCTCCTCATCCTCCCCGTCCAGCCGCTTCCCTGCCGTCAGCTCCTGGGCCAGCTGGTCCATCTTGCTCCACCGAGGGGCCTCCTCCCACTCCCTGGAGGGCCGCGGCTCCTGCTCCCCGCTCTTCCCGGCCTGGCCTCGGGGGGCCCCTGCCGTGTCCTCCTCCTCCTGCTCCTCCTGCCTGGGCCGCTCTCCCCTGCCCTCGGGGGGCCGGGCCTCCTCAGCCCCCGGCTTCGGGCCTCCATCCACCACTAGAGCCGCAGACCGACCTGGAGCAGGTGACAGAGCAGGAGGTCAGGGCCAGCAGCTCCCCGTCCCACTGCCCAGCAGCCTYTGCGGGCCACGGTCAGGCCACGGGCTTGGCTCTCAGGGTCGTGCCTTTGCACAGTGTCCACGTGGAGAGCAGGGCCACCCCGATACCCTGCCCATCAAGACCCCTCAGAGCTCCGGGGTGGGGGGCCAGAGCCAGCTCCTCCCCTAGCCCAGAAGCCTCTGGCCCAGCGGGCCACCCCCGGGGGCTGCCAGGGAGTCAGCTGACCCATCATGGAAGACAACACTGTCCCCAGATCAGCCTGTTCCCACCTGTCATTCTGTCTCTCTGTTCCCAGAGCCTGGCCACCTACCCTGCAATGCCCCTCTTGCCTCCTGGGCCAGGGGTGTGCTGTGTGGAACAGGGGAGAGGAATAGTGTGGAAGTCAGACAAACTGGGGTTGGAATTTCAACTTTTACTACAAATTAGCTGTGTGACTTTGGGAAAATTACTTAATCACTCTGAGCTCCACTTCCCCGTCTGGAATATGGACCTAATACCTACCTTTCGGGATTGTGATGAAGACGGAACAAGATTAAGGATGAGATTCCCTCCCACCCCACCCCCCCAGACATGCTGGTTCAGGTCCCCATCATACATACTCTCGTCTTTCCGTGTCTCCTTGTAGCCGAGGCTCTGTGGGGGCTCAGATGCTGCAGTGGGGCCTTCCTCCTCCGGGGAAGCCTTTTCTGCSGCCTCCTCCTCTTCCCCCTCTGTCTGCGACCCTGGTTCTGCACTCAGGCCCTGGGAGGGGCCCTCACCGTCCCCCACAGCCTGCGGGCCCGAGCGCCTGTGGCCTGCGAGGCTGGCTGGTGGCTGAGTGTTAGGGGCCTCCTCCCCCGGGGCCTGGCTGTCCCCCTGCCCAGGCTCAGGGAAGGCCCGGGGCCTGGCTGTGTCTGGGGCCTCGGGGCTCGGCTCTGCCTCTTGGGCATCTCTTCTCTCTGCAGCACCTTTTGAGGATGGTTCTTCTGTCACCTCTGCAAAAACAACAGGGCGAAGTTAGGCCCTGAGGACAGCTAGCTGTACTGGGGCCTCCTGGAGGCCACCTGCGGTCGTGGTCATCCTGTGCCTTGGCTTCCAGGAAGCTCGGCCTGAGACTAGAGTTAGGGTTCTCCTCCATTCTGGGCTTGATCTGAGTATACCTGGATTGTGGTTTTTATTTCTGTCTCTTAATACAGGATGTAACTTAAAAAAACTAAAAATAAAACCCAAAACAAAAAGCAGCAGACCCTGAAATGAAAATTAGGACACTGGCTGAACTGCTGTGTGATCTTGGGCAAACCACTTAACCTCTCTGTGTAAGAGGCGCCATGACTGCAACTCCATTTTCCCCTCCATATGGGGCTCCTCTGTCTCCTGCACCCTGTGAAAGTGCTCAGTTCCTCAGGATTTTCTCCAGGACAAAAAGCCCCCATCGTTGCTAGAGTGAGCGCCACTGAGCAAGGCGGCCCCAGGCGCATTCCACCATTTGAGCTCCGGCAGGTCCCCAAGGCTGGGCACGTGCTCACCCCACAGGACACACTGAGCGGCAGACAGGGGAGGCGGCGGGACCACTGCTCACACAGGCTGCAGGCCACAAGTTAAGCCCGCTCCCAGCCCCCACACGCCAGCTCAGGGTCCCTTGCGTAGAGCTCTGGGTGCGTGTGCCCACACGGATGCCACGCTATGTCCCTCCGAGGCCAGGGCAGGCCTGCGTGGCGACCCAGACTCGTTCCCGTGAAGCCAAGATGGGGGTCCAAGCCGCACCCAGCAGCGCCAAGTGGACAGTGTGGGCCAGGCTCCGGGCAGCTGGGCTGACCTGCCGGCTCCCTCCCAGCCCCAGATCAGGGCCACTGGGACCCCCGCTCCTAGAACCGGCCTCATCCACGGCCATGAAAGAGCCACGCCCTGCAGGTGGCCTGTGGCTCCCCAGGTGGGAGGACAGCCACCGCCTGGCCCCGGCGGAGCCACGGCAGCCAACCCACCCAGTGCTCTGGTTTCCAGAATGAGGACCCGGTTTCCCCGTGTCCCCGCCGCTCCTCGCACCCCCCTGAGATTGGCTACTCTAAGGAGCCACCAAATCCCGGGAGGGCAGGGGTGGGCCAGCTCTGTGCAGGGGGTACTGGGTGGACCCACCTGCCAGGCCACAGCACTCCCCCTCAGGGCCCCAGCACCTGGATGGACAGTGGGACACCGCGGCCAGGACCCGTGGCTGTGCCGTGGGACCACCCGTGTGCAGCCCACCTTGGGGGGGGAACAGGAGCTGCCGCCCGGGGCCTGCAGGAGGRGCCCTGGCTCTGGGGAGGCCCTGCCCTTCAGGAGGCCCCGCCCCTCTCGCCCCTCCCGCTCTGGCCAGCAGGGCTGGCACTGACCTTGGGGCTTGGCCTCGCCGCTCTGGCTCTCGAGGACCTCCGAGAGCTCCTCCTCGAAGCTGCGGTGCTTCTTGTGCTGCTGCGCCCTCTCCTTGGCCCCTGGGGAGGAGGACGGGGAGGCCCGTTGGGTCCACTCTGTGGGTCCAGGAGGCCGAAGGTCCCCACTTCCCCATGTGGAGTGGGCGGGTCATGTTCCAGGCCTGCCCAGTGAGACCTGGAGGGGTCTCAGCCAGGGGTGGCAGGTTGGTCCCCCCGCCCTCGTCTGGGGCCATCGGGTGGCCACGCCACCTCCACAGACTCAGATGCTGCTCTGGGAAAGGACAGCGAGCCCTGTCTGGGCCTCGCGGGACCACCAAGGCCCTGAGGGACAGAGGGCTGCAGGGCGGGAGTGGGAGTGAGGGACCCTCAGGATCTGTAGCTCAGGGACCTGGAGCAGGAACAACAGTGACCGCTCGTCTCCTCCGGGTGCTCTCAGCCCAGGCCCCGGGAGAAGCCAGCCCTGCTTGCCCYGAGCCCAGTCAGCCGCTGGGGTCCACATCCATCCTGCCCCGTCCCGGCACTGCCCCAGCTGCCGCAGCCGCCCTGACTGTCCCCACACCCGCGCCTCACTCTGGGCACTGGCCCCTCTGCGGGGTCAGCTCTGCAGCTGGAGATGGCTCTTGCCCTTATGGGGACATCTGGGACAGCTGTGAGCCAGGGAGCAGTCCTGGGCCCAGAAAGGTGTGAGTCCCAGGGCTCTGGGGCCACTTCCTCACTGGGTCACCTATACATGGGGCACCGCAGGGCAGGTGCCAAGACAGGCAGGGCCGCAGGACAGCACAGGGGCCTAGAGGGCATGGGGGAGTGGGCAGAGGTTGCACCAGGATGGATGGCAGCGACCGCATGGGCCCCGTGCCTGGGTGCGGGTATGCAGGACCCCCTGCCCTCTAAGAGCCTCTGGTGACATTATATTTCATGACATAACTTTAGCTAGTCAGTGTTTAATCTCAAATTTATCGTTTAATTAAAATATTTAATTTTTAGTCGGAAACCTGAGCCAGGAACCCATGACAACACAGCCTGGGTCTTTGGGGCCAGAACGCGCCTCCTCCCCGCACCCTCATCTCTGGCACCTGCCGCCCAGGGGGATAGCCAGAGAAGGGCGCAGGTGAGCTGGGGGGCCGGGTTCTTGCTTCCTCCCCAGATCTGACCTCTCCATTCTCACACGGCCCGTCTGCTCCAGCAGCCTCAGAGGGGCACCTTCCCGAGCTGGAGCAGCCTTCCTGCCCCCACCAGTGCCCCCAGACCCAAGCCCAGGCCTGGGGGGAGCTGGGGAGGGAGGGAGGGCGGGGGGAGTGGGGGAGGGCAGGGAGGGAGGGGAGGCCCAGCTCACAGACAGCAGCCCGCGGGTTGGTGCCCAGGGTGCCRATGGCCCTGCTCTAGACAAGGGGCCCTTCTCTCAGGAGTCAGCCAGGAGCAGCCAGGCCAGAGCCTGGTCCCGTGTGCTGGGTCAGTGCCGCCTTCCATCAAGACTGACCTCTGGGGGTGGCGGGAGCCTAATCCTCTAGCCCAGCACTCTGCCAGGTCGCCCTCAGGGACAAGGCACTCGCCACCTCTCAGCYACCCATTCCCAGGAGCTGTGGACTCTGAGAGATGGGGCTTGCTCCAGGGTGTGGCATTGGCCCGCCCACTTAGAGGCAGCTGAAGTCTGGCTGATGTCCTGGGGCAGACAAGACCCTGCCTGGCCCCACCACTGCCCTGCAGAGAAGCTCCCGGGGGAAAGAGCCCTTCTTCCTCTCTCCTTGAGAAGAGCTGGCTTCTCAGTTTTCAGAGGAAAGGAAAAGGAAAGCTCTCTGCATTCTAGTCTTGAAAGCAACCTCCTGAGATGGCTGAACTCCAGAGGCCAGGCGGCATTCGGAGAGCTGTTCCTGTGTACCGTGTGGCCCTGGACAGGCCACTCAACCTCTCTGAACCTTGCTCTCTTTAATGCTATCAGTAACAAATTCAACCAGGTGGCAGAGGGGATCCTACCTTGCTGCCCTGTGATTGAAAACAAGTAACTGAGTGCCCCAGAGGACCTTTGCCAACCTTCCTCCCCAATTTTCGGATTCTCAATTGATGGGATTTACCCAGAATTATGTGTAAGGTGACTGGAGCATACCTTGGAGAGCAAGGTCTTGGAGCTCCTTCAGTAAATTCTGGTGCCGCAGGATGGACAGGATCCGCTCATCTGCAGGAAAGGACACAGTCACGGGTGGCTTCCAGAGAACAGTCAGGAGGAGATGAGCGTTCAGCTGAGTGCTAAGGAGTTATTCTGGAAACCCCGACAGGCGGCCAGTCAGATCGCATCCCGAGATGACACTTGGGAGACTGTCCCCCCTCCAAGCCGTCCATCACTTTTCTAGCACCTTAGAAAGGTCAGGCAGGGCCCCCACGGACCTCAGCCCAGGGACAGCGGGCCCTGGAGATGCCAGTCTCTCTAACCCYTCCTGCTGCAGCCTCTGCCCATCCCGTCCTCTCCTCTGCACCCCAGTGCCCGTCCTCCACTGCCTCCCTCTGGATGGCCAGCGGGTCTTCTAAAGCCCCCTCCCCAGATGCTCACAGTGCCACCCAGCAGCTGGCCAAGGCTTGATAGCGGGAAAGATTCGGTCCTCCTCGGGCCCCACGGCACCCTTCAGCCGCCAGGGGCCAGACGCTATTCTGACCCTGGGAAAGCACCCAGAACCCCCCCACAGGGAGCTCACAGTCCAGACCTGCTGTTCCTGCGGGTTTCACTCTGCCCAGGAGTCGAGTGACCAATCTGTCCCCTCTGCTGGCCCACAGGCTCCAGGAGCGTAAGGCTGTGACCCCTCCCTCGCCCACCCCTCACGCCCCAGCGCAGTACCGGCCAAGGCAGGTCCTCACTGGGTGACACGTTGCACCCCAGCCACGCACGCCTCCCAGCCCAGGAGGTGGCCGCTCTCCCCAGGCCAGCCCCTACCTCCTCTGAGAGTCTCCAAACACTCCCGGCTGACGGGTGTGGGGCTGGGCTTGGACAGGGTGTCGGAGATGACCTCGACGATGCACTTCATGACCTGGAAGGGGAGCAGAGGTGGGCTGGGGCCAGCTCACAAGGGGCTCAGCCCCTCCCAGCGAGCACAGAAGAGCAGCTGCTTTTGTGCTCAAGAGTCCACGGAGGCCTGGCTCAGGGCACGACTCTGCCCTGGGCCAACAGTAATAGCCATGCTAACCCTCCTGTGGTGCCTGCCCTGGGTCAGGCCCTCCAGCTGCATGGCCAGGCCAGCCCGTGCCCCTCTAGGGTAAATCATGGGGGCTGGTACCTGCCGATTCCAAGGTTGCTTCCCTAGGATGAGGAACTGCTTCTGGGAACTGGAAGAATGTCTTTAAAAAGTGCTGCGCTCCTGCAGATGCCTCCAGGAAGTCCTCCCAGACTGCCCAGAGGAGAACAAAGACCTCCCCTGGTTCTGCCAGGTGTGACTCTCAACGCCCTCAGAGCTGTCACATGGAGGCACTATCAGTCTCATAGTGTGGCTTCCCATCTACCCAAGGGGTACAGCTGGATGTGGGGCACAGATCAGCTACATCTGGGTACCCATCCAAGGCCAATAGCAGCCTATACCTGAAAGCAGTGTCCAGCAAGATGCTGGGACAATCTAAGCATCTGATAACTGGACGATCTTTGACGATGGTGCCAACTGTAGGGTGGTATCCTAGCTGTGTGATCTTAGGCAAGTATGCTTAAGAGACTCAGTTGCCTCATCTGGAGAGTAGGAGTGAGAATGCCTTCCCCAGGACCCTTCTAGGGTAATGAGGCCCAGATGGGAAACAGTCTATAAAATGGGAAGTGCCTCACACACCAGGGTGGAATCACAGCTTCAGACCTGCTTCAGCAGCCTAGAGCTGGTGGAGAAGCAGGTGTCAGACTGCCTGAGGCAATGCTGGTGGGGAGCGAGGGGGTGGAAGGCTTGTCTGTGGGATGCCAAGGCAACCAGCCCAAGGGTGCGGGATGGCATCCTGGCAAGCGCTGTGCAGCAGGTGCAGTCACCACCTCCCAGGGAACACTCAGGTCTCAAACGGCTGCTCTTGTGCTCATGAACCTGGGCTGCTGGAACGACACGGTGACCAGAGTGGACCCCCAAACGGGATCTAGCCAGCAGCACCCAGCAGTCTGGACCCTGATCTCGCACTGGGAATATCAGAGAGCCACCAGTCTGTGAGGGAACTGGGCAGGGGTCCCAGAGGACCGGGGGGTCTAAAAGGGAAGCTGTAGGGAAACAGTGGCCATTTTCTGAGGACCAACCCTGTGCTGGGTACTACACCTCAAGGGAAAGGGGAGAAAGGGGAAGCTCAGAAGCTAAGGAATGTTTCCAAGGTTGCACAGCTAAATGAGTAGCCGAGGTTTAAATTCTGGCCCCTGTGCAACTGGGAAAAAAGGAAACATAATTGAGCACCTTGAAGTTGAAATGTTTTTGATGTTTTTGGTTTTATCTGTAGCCTCTGAAGAGAACGGGCCCTGCAAAGTGAACAGTAGACATCTCTCTGATGCTCAAGTGGAGATATGAGCACCGGAGACTGGAAATCCAGCCCTGGCTCGGGTGGGAATGAACTCCAAGCATGCTTCTGGTGCAGAGTGTTTCCTCCTGCCACAGGAACCCCCACTGGTGACCGCCCAAGTCCTTCCCTGGGTGGCCTCCACCATCAGCCCCAGCTGGCAGGGACCAGTTGGCACCATCGCCAAATATTTCCACTGTGGCCCTTGGGGGCACCAGGTACCTATGAAGCGGAGGGGTGCTAGTGAACTGGGTGGGCGAGGGAGAGAGGGAGAGCAAAGGGGGAGGCCAGAGCCAGGCAGGTGACAGCTGTCCTTGTAGGTCTGTGGACAACCCAACCAAGCCAGGCCACCAGCAGCCCACGGTAGGCCTGTGGATGCAGGCGTCAGGACAACAACCGGGCACCTAGGCCCCATCAGACAGACCCAGGCCCCTTCTGGCCACGTGGCCAATCTCATAGAAGTCTGGGGAAGTCCCCGCAGCGCAGCGGGACAGCAGGGAGAGTGAGCGGTCTCTGATATCTTCTTTTACAAGCTGTCCTCAGGTCAGCAGCCGCAGTGCTGGCTCTTGGCTGTATGCCAAACTCACTCCTGCAGCTGCCCAAGAGCTGGCCCGAGGTGTCCACCAGAACCTCCTCCCCCATCCCAGGGCATCCCCAACACCCCTCCTTACCTCCGTGTCCCCTTTATTCATAGGGCTGTTGACAGGGAGGGCAGTGACTGGAAAGAAAGAGAGAGCACTGGGGTCACTCCCCCGTGCCCAGGGAAGCACAGTCCTTCCTGACTGAGTTCAGAGGGGGCCACTCACCCAGCACTCCCTGTCAAAACTGTCCCCACCCAAATGAGAGGCCGGGCTGCCCAGGAGGTGGCCCCAGAGGCTGCCTTGAGGGGACCTGACTCTCCCCCGGGGAAGCTGCTCTGGAGAGGGCGCCTGGAGGCAAGTGCTATGGCAACACCAGCAGCAGAGCCGGGGGACCCGGGTGGGACGAATGCAGGGACAGGGAGGGACCCAGACGGAGGGGAAGAGCTGGGGAGGGGGCTGTGAGAGGCAGGAGTCCGGCCAGCCGACGACGCAGAGGGAGGGGGAGCTGAGGAGCGCCGTCCCGCCCCCTCCCCCCAATGACCTTGGCCGGCCAGGCGCGCAGCCCGCGGGGCCCGGACGCGCCCGAGGCCGGAGCCCAGAGCGGGAGCCGCGGCCGGGGGCAGTCCCGTGGGGCTGGGAGTCAAGCCCAGGTGTCCCTCGGGCCTGGGCGGAGGCCACGCTGCGGGGCCAGGCGGAGGCGGCGGGCGGGAGGCGGCGGCGCTGTCCGCGGTGCTGAAACCTGGCGCGCCGAGGGGACGCGCGGAGCAGCGCGGGGACCGGGGCAGGCGGGGCGCCGGGGCCCCTCGGCCGAGCCGGGGCTCACCTTGCCCGGCGCAGAGCAGGAGCGCCAGGACGGCGGCGCAGCGCATGGCGGCGGCGTGGGCAGGGCCGGGCGGCGGGCGGGGCGCTCGGCGAGCGTCCGTCGGTCTGTCCGCGAGCCTCCCGCACCGGCTGGAGCACTGCAGTAGCAGTAGCCGAGTCGTGTGCGCCGCTTATATACCCGCCACCCCCGGAAATGACGTCATGGGGCCGCCCCCTGCCCCTTTCCCCACCCCCGGGGTCCAGCTCGCTCCACCTCCAACCTCACCCCTCGCGGGCCCCTGGCCTCCGGCGCTGGTGGGTCTGGCGGCGACCCGGAGGTGGCACGGCAGGGCTCAGGTGGCCCTCCACCTGTCGACGGTTCCACCGATTTGCTGTGTGTCCATGAGCAAGTCACTTTGCGAGTCTGAGCCTCGCGTTCCTCCGCTGTGCGCACAGAGGTGACTGCCAGTGCTCGGCGGGCTCCTGCGCTTCCCCCTGCGCAATTGCCTTCTCCCGCGTCCACCCGCTGAGGCACGGTCATCGCCCAGGGTTCCCCAAAACACCAGGAGGTCCCGGAGGCCTCCTTGTGGCGTTCCAGTTTGTGCCTTCGCGTTGATGATTGTGTGTTTCTGGTCTTGAATGAGGGTTACTCGCCTTTGCTTTCCCGGTGCCGCGGGCCTCGCGCTCTGGCCCAGTCAGCGGGACTCAGTGATGACAGTCACGTGCGTTGGCTGAAGGCTGAAGTGAGTCTGGGACTCTGCCTGCGCGGCTCCTGGGGGCTCCCTCTCCTGGGCCCGGCCACTGTTGGACACTTTTATGCTGGTGGTGAGGGCGGGGTGGGCTCCGGTTTTTAATGTCAAGCCCACACAGGAGTCCTGTGTGGCATCCGCTCTGTAGCCATAGGCCGGCTCTTGGGAGCACCTTCCTGCCGCGGCCACCAGCTGTGTTCTGGAACCTGGATGTTTGGGGGAAGGTCTGTTTCCTGGTTGATTCCTTCTGCCCTGGGACCCTCGATTCTCTGGCCGTATTGCTGCTCTCATCCTGGATGCCAAATTGGGAACCTTGTGCTGCCTGAGGCCAGTGTCACCGTGAACCTGGCATCTGGGTAATAATTTGGCACTGATTGCCACCTCCAGAGCCCCTCCTTTTTCCTGCCCCTCCTCTGCTGCTGTTTCCTGCTCCATACCTGTGCCCATTTCCTGTCCCTAAATGAAAAACTGAACTGAAATGACCCCATTCATGCATTTATGAGCTTTGTTGTCTGCCACAATTTTTTGTGTACTGCAATGTAAGTAATTTTCCGACCTGTATACTGTTTCTCACGATGGAGTCCGGCTTGGTGTCATGCACTTGATTGATAGCACGTACTAGATACTGTGCTTTTGCTGTTATAAAGAACAATCTCATACACAGACCTCCGCAGCATTTTTAATTATTTCATAAACAAGTAAGAGACCTACGAGACTGGCAGGCCAGGCGACAGCGTCCAGGAGCCACAGCTGGACAGTGAGAAGCACACTGAGGCACTTTGCAAAATGTCACCTCTGATCAGATTCACATACGGCAGAGGGAACAGTGGTTGCCCAGGCCTGGGGCGTGGGGGAGATGGGGAGTTCGTGTTCTGTGGGTGCAGAAGATGGCAGGGTCCTGGAGACCGTGGTGGTTGCACAATTATGGGAATGTACTTGACACCACTGATCTGTGCTCCTCAAAATGATCAAATCATAAATTTATATAAAGTTTAATTTACCATGACAAAAATAATTGCTGTTTCTATTGATGCAGGAGGGACTGTCTTCTTGCCCAGGGGGGGCGGGCAGCAGGGAGCAGGGAGCAGGTGTCCTGGCCTCTCTGTGGGGCAGACACTACCCATCTAACTGCTGCGCCTGGAGCTCTCCCGGCACCAAGCCCGGGAACAAGGGCACTAGAGCCCCCACCAGCTGGTCCCCCAGAACTCCAGAGGGATCCTCACATGTGCAGCCCCCAGAATGCTGACACCATGAGAGAGAGACCCAGAGGCAGCCCAGATGCCTCCCTGGGGAACTGCAGACTCAGGGCTGCCCCCCAAAGCTACTCCGACTCCAGCAGGTGCACCCAGAACCTTGCCCAGCTCCCCTGGTTCTGTCAAAGGTCTGACCCACCTCCCACGGCCAGGATCACTCCTTTTGTACCCAAAGCCTTTTTCCATATGATGTTTGGGGGGGGTACAGAAAGATCTGGACACCCCCAGGAGCAGCCCTTGGCAGTGTCTCGGGCATTCACTCCAGCTCCCCCCACCCGGGGCATCATTTTGAGGACGGCTGTTTTATACCATTTCACAGCGTCTCCAGGTGGACGGAGCTGTCTCTCCTGGTGAGTGGCTCCAGGGCACACACTTCAGTGACAGCATGTGACAGCGTGTGCTCGCCGTAGCCGTGCTTCACATCCTCCCCACTCCTCTTCTGGGGATTCCCCTCTTGCATAAATCTGTGTCCCAGGGAACCCAGGCTCAGGTGCTGCCCAGCTCCGGCTGTGCCTGGGGTGTGTCTGAAGGTCCTTGGCCCCGCAGCCACGGGGAGCTGCGTGTCCTGAGGCCTCAGCCCTTCTTGGTCTGGTCTCCTGCAGACTTCCCCTCTGTCCCTGGCTCCGGGCTTCACGGTTCTTCGTAGTCAATTTGGAGATGGTTCTTTAGACCCCTGTCCTACCAAGCAAGTGTCATCAACACTTGGCCTCTGCCAAGCCTCTGACCAAGGTAGAGGCCCAAAGGCGAGGATGGACTGAGGACTGAACCCTCAAGGCTGGGAAACAGAGCAGGCCTCACATCAACCAAGCTGCAGCACCCAGGGAGGGGCTGGGGAGAGCCCAGGCTCCAGGGTCGGGGAGAGCTCTCTGGGGTAGAACTGTGGCAACTCACCAAGTGCTCCTCAGTAGCCACTGTCCCATGATTTCCCATAAGGAGGCAAATGAGAGCAGTTGTATCAGAAGTTAGAAAAGAGCTCAGCAGTGAAAGACTACAAAATGGCCACACAGCATAGATTACCAGGTAGAGGTTCAGAGGTGTTGTTTAAACTGCCTAACACCACACAGCTAAGAAGGGGCAGAGTGGGATTTGACCGCAAGCTGTAGTTGTAATGTGAAAAAGTTGTAATGTGAAAGCTTATTGCTGCTAGATAAAGGGTGTAAATGCTAATACCTGTCAAAAGAGGAAATGGAGACTTGGAAATGAATGGTGCCTTGACCTGAGTCACACAGAAAATTAATGGCAGGGCCGGGATGAAAGCCAAGCTCATCAGAAGCCAGCCTTGGGTTTTCTTCCTGGACAAAGGTCCAGGTGGTGGGGCTCGGGGTGGGGGGCTCCAGATATTTCCTAGGGCAACTCAGTGACCTGGCAGAGGTGCATTCTGAGCACGGATTCTTTTTCACCCATTCAACCAAAGCCATTTCAGGACTGGGAAGAGGAGGCATTTCTGTATCCAGCAAACAGCACCTACTGCGTTTCAGCTCTGTTCTCCCTGGAATATGCTAGTGAAGAACAGAGACAAGCTTCCTGGCATCTTGGAGCTGGTACTAGGAAACAGAGGACAAGGAGTAAACCATAATCAATAAGTATATCATACAGCAGGTTAGAAGTTGGTGGTTGCTGTGGGAAAAGGAGAGAGCTGAATAGGGTAGGGAGCTGTGGAATCTCTGGGTGACAGGCTTTGGGCCTCGCTGAGTAAGTGGTCTGGTAGGCCTCGAGGAGACAGTAACTTAAGTAAGGCATCTAGATAGAGAGCAGTACAGATACATAGAGGAAGAACATTCCCAGCAGAAATGAATAGCCAGTGCAAAAGCCCTGTGGCAGGTTTGAGGTAAAGCAAAAAGGCCAAGGCAGCTGGAAGAGAGTGAGCTAGGTACTGGGTGCAGATGATGAGGCACTGTTTAGGCCAGATGCCAAACCTCATGGACCTCCGTGAGGACTTTGGGCTTTTACTCCAAAGCAGATGCTAACAGGAGGAGATAGCCAAAGATCAGGGAGTCACTGGGAGAAGAGGAGCCCCAGGAGGTATGGGGTATTGGGGTACGGCGTCTGACGCAGCTAGTTCTTGCAGTCCTAACACTCCATGCTGTCCCAGGGACCCTGGACAGAGTCAGAGAGGACAAGAGAAAGCCATTGCTTCCTGCTGCCTCTGGTGACCAGAACCAGACCCCAGGGTCTGCCCATCTGTTCCTGTAACTTGGGTGCAGGATGCCTCACGTAGGCAGGCCTTGCCACGGGGTCCTAGGGGACAGCCCTTGCTGGTCCCCCAGGGAAAGTGGCAGCTGCTTATCTGACAGTGGGGCCTGGGGCATTGAGCCGCAGCGTCAACATGCCCTCGGCCCCCGCTCACAAAATCATATTTTCCAAACGTGCAGCTCCGCCAGCCCCTTATCAGGCCTCCAGGTGGAAAGCCCGGTTGCCGGGCAATGCGGCTTTATCTCCGAGGTCTGCTCAGAGGCCAGTGCACGGTGATTTCGTTAGATCCTCTCCCATCTGTCTCTGCAAACACCCCCGGGGCCTCCAATTAAGGTTTTGCTTTTCTTCTTTGGCAGATGTTTGCTTTAATCTAACCAAGCGGTCCCAGGCCTCCTCTGTGGATGGACAAGGGCCTGGCTGGGTGGGTTATGGGAGAGCCAGGAAGGGGAGGCTCATATACCAAGCCTTGGGCCCCGGAACTGGCTCACTGAGGACACAAGGTACAGTGGGTGGGCAAGAAGGACCAGGCCTGGACCAAACCCTGCCCCACCTCCTGTCCCACTCCCCAGGGCCACATTCCCACGGGGACCCACAGCAGTGCCTCCCCCTGAGCATGATGTTTTCTAGGGCGACACCCAAGGCTCAGAAACTCCCACATCCCGGAGGGAGGTGTTGGGGGTCCACCTGCAGAGGCCCCGCATGGAAGGTGCTGCAGGAGAGCCACTGGTGACGCACGGGTGACGCACGCTCCGGTGTCACACCGAATGGACCGGAACACGGGGAGCTGCGGGCCTGGGGGCAGGTGGGGTTAGGTTCAGGGCAGAGGAAGCGAGGTGGCTGGCCTGCCTGCCGGGACCTGGCCTTGTGGTGGGG